AAAAGGAACCGGCTGCATGGATAAGCAGCGATTGCAACAAAATGATTTACCTGATGTACTACAATGCAGTATAGTGTGTTGGTTAGACGTGAAGGCCCATTCTCTTCCATTATTATCGACGCATGCCGCATGTGTAGCTTGAAGTGTACTGGCACGGAGCGTTTTGTGGCGAGTAGCTCCATCACAATATCAGTGTCTCTTGGGAGATAACGAACCTGCATAACCCAACAGCATTCACGGATTCGTAATAGGCCTTGACGGATTATGCTAATATTTTCGTGAAATTATGCTTTTCGCATTGCTGAAAAAATTGCAGAATTATGCTATTTTTATGCTAAAAGTTATCATATTATGCCGCTTTATGCTCACCTATGCTGCTAATGTATTATGTATTATGATGGTTCTGTGCAAAATAGCAGGGGAATTTTTTTGTAGAGGGCGTTGTACTGTAGTAGCAGAAGTTCAACGGGGTCAACGCACCGTCCGACCTAGCTACGACCGTCACCAAGAGTCCATAACCCAGGTTATGGACTCTTGCCGTCACTGATTGTAGTGGACTGGACTTGTTATCAAGGGAGTCGTAAACCTACGACTTCCTGGTGCATCTACTGTCTTGTAGAACATGTACAACTGTATGGAATTTGATGCGAACAGGCGGATTATTCCAATTTTATGCGATTCGTATGCAATTTGCCTCGACTTATGCGATTATTCGATTTTGGTAGGAATTATGCGAAAAAATTATGCTAGCATAATCCGTCAAGGCCTAATTCGTAAGCATAGACCTGTTAGGGGAACGGAGAAATGTAGAGGTGAATGAACTGTGGCATCACTCTAGAATGATGACAATTCCCTCCACTCTCTCTCTCCCTCTCAGCTCTCTCCCTCTCTAAGACGTCTAACAGATGTAACTTGCTGCACCCATGTTATGCCCCATACTAGTACTAGTAGTAGTTGATTGACAAGTACTGGAGCACGTGGATCGCGCACTATATACATACCCTTGCACGTAGCCAATAGAGCCCTCTACAAAATCATATATTATTCACAACGGAATGGTGAACCTCCCCTGAGAAGACCCTGGTTAGCCTTCCCTGAGAAAACCTGTCCGTCCTTATACATGTACCTTCCCCTCCTTGTGTACGTACAGCACATGTATGACAAGGCAGTAGGAAATAATCCGATGATATCCAAGTTACCGGAAAGCATCAAGCCGCAACTGCTTCTGGCAGCGACTATAAAGGACTTGAGATTCCACTATTTTTCTCATTCATCAATTCGGTTTATAGCCAGGTTCAATACAGTCAGCTGCAACCCTTCCTGAGCAGGACAGCCGACTGCTAACTTTCAGAATGTCCCCGAAAACGTTTACTCCCACCCTGATGGCTGTGTTGGTCGCCCTAGTTTTCAGGTAAGTGATCGCGTTCTGGTGATGGTGTTTTTAGAGCTATGTTTCTACATGCACACATGTCAGATAGTGGCTTGAATTGGGTCAGGATATTAGTGACCGTTCTTCCAATAGCAAAGGTCGTGTTGGAAAATTGCCTGGCTGTGCAGCTCCCTCCGTTTGTCTGTTCCTCCGTCCAACGACGTTCTAATGTGTAGTAACATATCCATCAAGGTGATTGGCCCTCACCATTCCTCTCACTATGGGCAGCCATCCTGATGTGCTGTGACAGAGATATGGTAGTTTTACAGTATGGACATGTACTAGTGCTTTTGTGCCATATTCGTAGAAAAAGAAAAAGAAGAAGAATCGTAATACATGTACACTCATATCCTTCTTGTTTCCTGCAGGTCCACAGAAGCCATTGTATACGGCAGTATGAAGTGCCATAACCGTAACGATGTCAATCAGATCTTTCATCAGGAGGACTACACCAATGGCAATGGACAGTTTGCCTTCTTCCAAATTCGGACGCGATACAGCCAGCAATGAGTATTACCCGAGCATGACGTGTAACTAGTTACGTGTACTTGGATTACAGCGCCATTGGTGGTCGTCCGGTGAGCGTCATCTTCCATCCATGTACCCTGCCTATTGGAAATACATGCAGTCAGGATTCATTGACGGTCAGCACTGCTGCATCCAATCCACACACTGTGAACTGCTCCGACGATCCAGCTGCTGAACCAGGCGTGATGGATACTGGTGATTCCAGCATTTCCATCAAGTTCCTCACTGACGGGAGTGCACAGACAGTGGGCTGCACAGGATTCATGTGGGGTGTCCGTAAGTAAAGAAAATCGGATATGCAATTTCGAATTGCTTAGGCTTGGAACAATTATATTCATAACCACTCTCTTTACTAGATATACATGTGTATTCGTACTTGGCCTTCGCAATTGGACAAAGTGTTGAATTAACAAAATAATTACAACGTTCACGGGAATATCAACATGCATGTAGGAGCAGACTTGGAAGTAATTGGGTAATTTCATTCCCTGTAATGTTCCAAGCAGGGTCATAATAAGATGGAGCGATGGCGTTGCGACAATGGACATGTATTCATTTGCGAATTGCGCTGTTGCATAAGGAGCCCAGGATCAAGCCAGTCAGTTAATGTGGTGCATGTGTGTGTGTGTGTTTCTGTCTCCCTCCTCAGCTCCATCTTAATTGAGTGAATAAGGCTATGAAGGCATGGCGGGCGCGGCCCAATAGTTCCCACTGCACTAGGGTTTCCTAGCTCTGATGCTTCGGCACGGACATTTGAAGCTTCAACACATTTCATAATTAGCTCAGATAATCAGTTCATTTCTAATAAGCATGAACTAGATTGGAATTGTATTGTATGTACATGATTGTATTCATGCAGGACAATCATTGCATAATGCAAGTGAACAAGTCACAATATGGTATCTTGTGAAAAGAAGAAAGACAATAATTTAATTGGCTCACCATCCGAGTTAAATATGGTATCTCTTGTTCATATTCTATCCAGGCATGCGGTTACAAGTCTCACTCCTCCCGATCACAATGGTGACTTTCACAATCTTGATTTAATTTAGATAATACATGTATGTGCATTTAATAGTCAGCGACATTTGGGAATAGTATTGATTCAATGCTGTGATCTAGGCTCCGGCGGATTATGCTCGCGAAATCAAGGAATAACGCTTTCATGGATTCTCGCATTATGCTCGTAAAATCCTCATATTATTATGCTTTGGCACCCGGGGATATATATTCACTTTGTTGTACTTATGGAGCCTCAAAGTTCGGGAAATTGTGCCTTTTTTCGTACTTGCAAGTTGCAAGTGGCCATACGTACAACAAAATACATACATTGTACATGTACATGTATATTGAGGTTGTAGTAAGGTCACTGTTTCCGAACACAGTGTCCTCCACCTTGTTTCATGCTGTCAATCTAACAATATGCCTGAACTATAACAAGGTTTATACTAGTTCTGAGCTAGTATTGGGTTATAATATTATTATTATAATAACAGAATACATGTACCTAAGTATCCCCTTACCAAGGTGTCCATGCATGTAAGAGGTCAACATGGAAAAGAGAAAACAATACTTATTCTATTTATTACCTGATTTCTTTGTACTTCAGTAAAAATATTATTTTCATTGCCAAATTAGTTTGAGTTACCTTGGAAAATTATCATGTTCAACTGTCTTCGTAATCATCATACTCGTCCAACCAATGTCACCCTGGGCCTCACCCTGCGAATAATCAGCTCATCTCTCCCGTAGCTCCACTTCTCCTTCCATCATGACCGAACATCAACTACATGACTGTATACATCCATTTAGAGCAATATCCGTCGTCTGCAGTCATATCATGGCTGCTAAAATCCAGACTGGTCACGACACTAGACTAGGTAAGAAGATATACAAGACAGTCATGTACATGTACATGTATATGTGTAGGTGTGAAGAAACCTAACGTCGTAACGATTTGTTGACAGGGTACAATGTACATGTACATGTAAGTGTGAAATTAATCTGCTTCTGTTTGCGTAGGCTTGGCGTCTTTGTGTGACAGGTCTGTTCCCGCGAAATGACGGCAACGCCCGGAAATGCATGAAAGTTGTTGTTGTTTGTTATTTAGCTTTATTTTCTTCATCATGAGCACAGGCAAAATCTGCCTTTTCACTGGGCGTATCGCAAAATGATGAAGTAGAAAGTCATCAACGCAAATGTAACTTCAACCTTGGCTATTGCACTAATTCAAGCTACATGTACATGTACATACTCATAATTATATCTGTACAATGCCATGAGGAACAGGTACCGCGGTATAATACTGCTCTTCATTATAACCATGACAGGACCAGGAGAGCGCAGCGCACACCTTACTAGACAAACTGCATTATCTCGGTGATTATGAGGGATGTACTAGGCCAAGCAGGATTCTTCACATATCCACTATACACAGGAGTCAACGTCTCTGAGCATGAAAGTTCTTATTTCCTTTAGAAAGGCATAGGATGAATCATTGATTTTTAAAAGAGGTTCTAGGATTACTCAGTAACATACATTGTATTAGTGAGGATGAGAGGAAGATATTGGCGTGTAAACTCTGAGAACCGAAAAAGAGAGGCTGGAAAAAGTGGTCAAAAGCCGGGTCTGTAATCCTCACTTAGTACTTCCAATAATCAAGATAAAAGTAGATGGCTCAGTACACAGAATTGATAAGCAGAAGAAATGCAGAAAAAACGCTGCACTGATCACCACTCCCCAGAACCAGTATTGCGCAGCAGATCATAAATCAGTTCATGCAATGAGTGTAGCCGTACCATTACAAGCGTTCTATTAGATCTTCTAAAAGGGAGTGGAAAATTAAAATCAGCAATAAAATACAGAATGATGTACATGTACATGTACATTGTACATACATGTACATGTAGCTTCTGCTTGCCAAGTACTTGGTGGTCAAATCTAGGGCACCGGTATCACTGAAGCTTGAGGCAGAAGTAATAGGTCGTCCTCATTCTCAAGAGTGCAGCGTAAAGTCCATGCCTTGGAGCACTTCTCTCCTTCTTATGACGGCGCTGAGGACAAAGGTAATAAACAGTACATACGCAAAACAGACACATGTCATGTACATTTTATTGTTTCAGAAATGATCTATACGTGATGTACATGTATAGCTACATGTACGTGAGTCGTGCAGTCTGGCAAAGGAGGCGGGGAGCTTCCTGGAGAAATTGTTTAAATTCATGATCCAGTGGTTGATTACAGGCTTGCTACGATTTGACGTACGTGTACTTGTACAGACAGAGCTACATGTACATGTATATTTGGGGTATGCAAATCAATCGGATACTTTCAAATCTTCTATATAGAACTTAGGTGGTGGCTGTGCATGTACATGTACTGTACATGTACAGTGTATGTCATTTCGACATACACTGTATCCAGGCATTAGACTTGAAGCAATCCATTGCATGTATTACAATGCAGGCCAATTCTAGCCTGCTGACTGCTTGTATGGTCTACGCGGTGATTTACGGCACTATAGTCCCTAAATACTAAGAACAAATACAAAATACTTTAGCTAACAAATACAAAATACTTAAGCTAACAAATACAAAATTAATCATTAAGTAAAGCCACACACACACGCACACACGCACGCGCATACACACACACACACACACACACACACACACAACCGTTATCACACACAAATGACAAGCAAACATTTTCGATTACTTACGGACGCCCCACAGGGACCCAGCGCAACCCACAGTCTGCCCACTCGCGTCAGTGAGGAATTTGATGGACATGGTGGAATCACCAGTATCGATCACACCTGGGTCAGCAGCTGGATCGTCGGAGCAGACCACAGTGTGTGGATTGGATGCAGCAGTGCTGACCGTCAATGAATCCTGACTGCATGTATTTCCAATAGGCAGGGTACATGGATGGAAGATGACGCTCACCGGACGACCACCAATGGCGCTGAAATCCAAGTTACACTCCATGTTCGGGTAATACTCATGGCTGACTGTGTCGCGTCCGAATTGGAAGAAAGCAAAGAAGCCATTGGTGTAGTCTTCCTGATGCAGGATCTGGTTAACATCGCTGCGATTGTGACATGTCATACTTCCATAGATAATGGGGTTGGCTTCCGATGGGCTGTGTCAAAATACAACAGAGCAAAGGCAATTGTTACAGGCTGCCCACATGAACAATGCGCTCTAATGCTCATGATCACGTAAGAGTGAAAATGATATTACAACTCGACAATTGTACTAATGAGTAAAATATGATTTGATGTGGTAAACAAATTCATCTTGAAGATCTGGGTGAATACTTAGTATGGGACGAATGAAAATGGACGAAACATTCGCCGTAATGCAATACTTGTGATTCGTCTATAGATTTCGCACCAATGATATCATCAAGTGAAAAGATGACTCACCTTGCGGCCAATGCGACAAGGACAGCAGCCAGGATAGTAAGAAAGATTTGTGGAGACATTCTGAAAAGTCGGCCTGTGAGTCGAGATGGATCAGCCAAGCGGTAATGGAGTAATCAATATGCTTGAGACCTTGGGAGGATTTCTGCCAGAACTGATGGAAGTGGACTGCTTTTATACCTGGCCGAAGGGGATCGCAATGCTGAAAGACAATACGCGAATGCCATTGTGCCTGCATGCCTGCACACAGGACAGTCGGTCTCTTCGTCAAGGGCGGGTATTAGACTCCGAGACAATTAGTTTCCTCTGTGGATTTGATCTCTTTGACAGGCTCCACTGATTGATATTAGTTGCTCCTTCCCTAGCACGTGTGACCTTTCCCATGATACGTCAACGCAAGTCCCTATCTGGATGAGTAGAAGACGCACGCTAAGGCTGAACATACTCCACATTTTCCCGTCATGACATCTCGCTCGCTGTAGTCATTCTGATACCTTCAATTCAGTGACTTCTGTGGTATTATTGCAATTCTCAGAATGTTAGCTAGGAATACGTGATGTGGCGAATTTGTCAAGTCCTCTCTCAAGAGACCTGTGCGAATCCCGCAGGCACACGAAATGGAATGCTATGTTCTTGCCAAAGTGCCTTGGGCGATGGATACTGCGTTTTCTTCTCTCATACATTGTACATGTGTCACCATCGCATCTTTCTACTCACATAGCAGTTAGTATATTGCAAGCATAAATTTCACAAGAACGAATACTGTGGTAGACACGTGGTATGTGATCTACTTGATCGGTTTCCTTTTTTCGTGAGACGGCCTTGATTTCTGCAGTGATATCATCAAGGAAAATGCATTGCGCGAGATCTCGGATCGTCTACAAAAACCAAACGAACTTCCTGTAATCTCGGGAAACTGGCAGATAATTGCAAAGAGAAGCACTCAGATCTCTGCACCACTCCCGAGCACGGAAAACTCAGTGTACCTCTTAAGTAAGTATCAGGTCATTACGGCTCTTGTGATGAAGTGGACAATTTAGCACAGTCAATTATACTGACGTCTCTGATCATCTGCAGAGATACCTCAGGCTATGAGCACGATGCGCACTGTAAAGAATTTTCCTCTTCGTAAAGACGTGTGTGCTGTGTTACTTGGAACATGCTGGCACTGATGATTTTGTGGTGGAGTTACGTACGCATCGACCGGCCCATTTCTGTATGTCTCTGGGGAGAGGGCTAAACATTGTAAACAATAACATAAAACTCTCCAAATCCCATGTAGAATGTGCGTGTGTTCCGACAATTTCACGATCTTTCCAATCATTGAGAAGGACGGATGTAGGATTGAATGAAGTAGGGTTGAGCTGGAAAGAAGACTATCCTCATTCATCAGTACACACAAGAAAAAGGAGCTAACGTGGTGTTGTCAGAATCTGACTTTGCACATGCGATCGCCAGTGTCTCTTCTAGCCTCCACTTATGCGGTACCAATGCCCAGTACGTGGTTTCCTGGATTGTGCAATTGCAGACTTTCGCGTACTTATCCCAAGGAGCTAGCACCCTGTGCACAAATCTTCATCAAACGAGAAGCATATGCATCGTACACATTATGATTGTGATATACCTCTCTGCATATCCCTTGAGATACTGTCTTCTCATCTTCCCCCACACATCCAATTACGGACATGAGAAAAGATCGTAGCTGCACTGAATGATACAGTTATGCTGCAAGTCACAGTATAGCATCAGGCCTTTGGAAGCGTGTATAAAAGAAACTTGTTTTGACTGGTAATGCAATCCCCCATTTCTGGTTTTGTAAGGTCAACTTGCCTCTTACCAAAATACTTCGCTATAATCCGTTCTTGAGAACTGAGAACATTCAGTATGTCTTTGAAAACCCTTCTTCCCGTTCTGGTGGCTGTTCTGGTTGCAGTACTTTGCAGGTAAGTGTATTTCAGACCCTAGTTTGTCACTTCTCACCTCACATTACTTTCTTTCTTTTATTATTGCATGCTATCTATTCGCTTAACTTTTGTCATTGAAATATGTTTGATGATTACCACCCTTGTGTTGCTAGTAATTCGTATTATTCATTGGTTCTTTCACTTGATGAGAAAGCAAGAAGACTTGTTTAGGTAATTCTGGAGTCCTGATGATGGTGGGTAAGAGCTTGAAGTTGCCGAGTTATTTCTTATTGAAGTTGATTGGTGTTGTGTCTCTATTGCAGGCCTACAGAAGCCATTGTATATGGTAGCATGACATGCCATAACCGTAGCGATGTCAATCAGATCTTGCATCAGGAGGACTATACCAATGGCTTCTTTGCTTTTTTCCAGTTCGGACGCGACACAGCCAGCAACGAGTATTACCCGAACATGGAGTGTAACTTGGATTACAGCGCCATTGGTGGTCGTCCGGTGAGCGTCATCTTCCATCCATGTACCCTGCCTATTGGAAATACATGCAGTCAGGATTCATTGACGGTCAGCACTGCTGCATCCAATCCACACACTGTGGTCTGCTCCGACCATCCAGCTGCTGACCCAGGCGTGATCGATTCTGGTGCTTCCACCATGTTCATCAAGTTCCTCACTGACGCGAGTGGGCAGACTGTGGGCTGCGCCGGGTCCCTGTGGGGCGTCCGTAAGTAACATTTTTGTATTTGTGAAATACACAGATGACCGTCGTAGCCCCTCTTTCCTTGTTAATGTTCAATTAATCCGTTACCTAGTCTCTGAAATTTACTGTTGTGATAATTATGAGATTTGCTCGTAATGCATGTACATGATCCATGATTTTGTCCATGATCTTGTCCATGATCCTGTCGGATCTCACCACAACCACAAATGCCATTGCATGTTAGTACATTTGGACTAACATGCACCCATGCAATTGTGTGTTTCGTGTTTGTACTGAAAAGCCGAATTCTGCTTTTCACTAGTTGGTAAACGTGTGTCTTTGTTTGCGTGTCTATGTACTTCTGTTTCCTCAGCTCCGTCCTAAACTAGAGAGGCTCAAAAGGCATCGTGCAAACCTGCCACTACACGGAGCACAATCCTGACTCAATCATCATGCAAAGCTGAATCATGCTGTTTGAATTTGTATTGAAGCATCACATTGACACATTTAGAACCACATAATTCTTTCCAACCAATCTGTATACCTTTCATTCCAGCCTGCGCCCTATCTCCTCTTTCTATTCCGTGGATATTTACATGCATGGACACAGAGAATACCAATAGCATACACTGTGCATTACATGAACCTGGACAATGTGGACATCCTGTTCTTTCGTAAAGTAATAAACACGCGTGCCCCTGGAATGCTCCTAAATGATTGCCATTGTGCCTTTCAAATTTTTATATGCGGATATATATATTTTTGAGGGTAAACACTGTATGTCCGCCAAGGCACGTTTGAAGGTGAATCATTTACAGTAGTTTGTATTTGCATCCCAGTCACTCAGTGAAAACTATACTTTTGCATTCCATATTTTCCTCCTTTCGAAATTCAAACAATAATTATTGTACATGATGTTTTAGTATGATTCCGTTCAGAAATCCCTGCAACGTAATCCAGCCATGCACCAATCTGATGAAAAGTTTGTATGTCGTATTACTAGTGACCCGATATGACAGGGAAGTGTGTTGTGTTCGACATGCGTTGACCTGATGTCTACGCATGATAATAATACTGTAGTGTAAAGTGGGCTGTGCTTCTCCGGACAGCTAGCCGTTTCCACCTTGTTAGGTCTCATCAGCATATATTATGTAGTAGGGGAGGGGGGGGGGGGGGGTAGAGAGCTGCATGTTGCATGAGTATTCAAGCCATATTTTAAAAGACGAAATGAGGACCAGGGAACTACAAGTCACGCTATTGTCCACTGACACCACCAGTTACTTTACAATCAGCTCATGCGATAGCATTGATAACATTGCACGACATTGCACGACATTGACCGACGGTACTGACGTTCCACACCAAACTGGCCCAACTTGTAGTTCCTTGGTCCTCAATTTTCTTCTTATACTCGAGTAAATTTATCATTGGGTCTCCACCCGAGTCTAAATATTTTAAAAGGCACAACATTTCAGTAGCGCGAGGTAATGTCACCTCAATTGATAGGACATCCAGTCTGAACAAAAGGACTTTAAGGAGGGAGTTGATCTCCAAATGCCCAGTGCCCTCTGGGTATCCCGTCTGAAGAAAAGGAGCGAGTTGATGTCCAAATGCCAACCTCCGACAGGACATCACGTCTGAAGAAAAGGAGCGAGTTGATCTCCAAATGCCAACCTCCGACAGGACATCCCCTCTGAACAAAGGAGCGAGTTGATCTCCAAATGTCACCATACCAATAGATTCCAACTGAGCAACCGACAGACGACAAGCACATGAGCTTGACCTTTGGCTGGGCGGTGTCTATTATATTCGCTGGGACGTTGAATGAGACAGAGTGGTGAGTGGGACTGTGTTGATCGGGGGCGGGGGGCGGGGGGGGGGAGGGGGGGGGAGCGATGGACGCAGCTTGAGGCCCACGTCTCACGTGTTGTGCGAGCCTTAGCTTTTGTTGTTATTTCCTCAATCTCTTGGCAGGGGTGATAGAGCATGCATTTCCTGGCCTTGCATGAGTGGTAAGTTGGGGAAAAGTTGGTGTTAGGGAACTGGCCAGTGACGGGATGACTCCTACGGACGGTCTGTTTATGGTATTCGTTTCGGTACCGGCCGGGCTCATTCAGGCCTTGGGCACCCCTGCTTCTGAATACATGTAGCTCCTATCCTACACTTGGGCAGCTCATATTATCCACTACTAGTAGTACTATTCCTCCACATCACCATAATGCAGCAGTGAGTCATGGACGCACCAAGCAATACTGCATGTGTTACATATGTACATGACATTGTATAGCATGGCATTATTTCTCCATCCTTTTTGTAGGAGTATTGTACTGAGTTTGAATATCAATACCACAATACCGGTACTAAGAGAACGGAGCCTAAGTCTGGGACGTCAATCCTGCAGGTGATAAGTGATAGTGAGGGATTGGGCTCTGTCACGCAGGATACTCCACTTGAACAACTTGTACACTGAGGTGTAAGTCAGGATCACAGACTGTATTTGGCATTGTGGTCAGAGCTTGGGATACCGAGTAGTTACGGAAAACCTTCAGGAATAATGACTGTTGTTGTTGTTACTTTATTTTACTTCACCAGAATTTCAGGCAGTAGAATGCCTTCTCACTAGACCAGGTCTAGTTCTCACAAGTGATGAAGAATGTGAATGAACATGCTAAAGCTAATGAAAAACAAGAAATAGAAAGAGGACTGTGATGATAGCAATGTGATGATCAACAGCAAGTTCATGATGATGTGTTGATCAACACGCATTGGCATTAGTAAAAAAACGTTGTCAGATGTGAAGATAAGAGGGGACCTTACAGGTCAGTAAATTCTAAATTCTGCTGGGCACTAGTTAATTAAGGAATTAGATAGAAGACACTGGGTCGACACTCCTCAATCAGCTTGCCAATTAACCGCATAGAATACAGAAGCAAAGTAAGATTCTTCCCTACTTAGGACAAGATCAAACTCTGAGCATGCAATGATGTAATAATACTAACACAGGGAGAGTATAAAGACTGGTAGATGAGAGGCAGCGTGAGTTACAACGGGTCATGTAGCAGTATTACGAGATCAAGTATATCTTGATTTTTATATTATACTGTGCTTGGTGATACAAATTGAGGCAACGTGATGCTTGGATTTCAGGACGTCCTCGTTCTCACATATCAACAGTGCAGAGTCACGGCAATGCCAACGAGCACCTTTCCCTTCTTATGATGGCGCTGAGGACACAGATAGCGAAGTACAAAAAGCAGAGAGGTATTGGTTGCAGCTAATAGACGCATTTATATCCAGTAATTGAAGACTTCACTTGCTGGAGCAAAGGTACACTTTAATTTTAAAAGATCGGTGATTCAACAGGCCAGTTGCAGGGATAATCAGTTTCCCAAAAAAAATAACGATCAATGGCACGTGTGCGGAAATCCCCCATACTTATAAACAGTGGAGCTACAAGAGCTGCCTCAAATGTTTCAAGTCACTATTGTCCATTGTATAAGAAATACTGAGGAGTGACTAAGGAAAATAAATTCGTCTGAAGTGCTGCTATCGAATATCCACTTGACTCTTGTTAGGTTCATCACCTCTGCTTTGTGTAGATAATTTATATTATGCATTTTACTGTTCAAGTGTAAACTCTCTGCTCATTGTCAATGCAGTTGAGAAGAAAACTTTACTTACGGACGCCCCACAGGGATCCAGCGCATCCAACTGTCTGCCCACTCGCGTCAGTGAGGAATTTGATGGACATGCTGGAATCACCAGTATCGATCACGCCTGGTTCAGCAGCTGGATCGTCGGAGCAGACCACAGTGTGTGGATTGGATGCAGCAGTGCTGACCGTCAATGAATCCTGACTGCATGTATTTCCAATAGGCAGGGTACATGGATGGAAGATGACGCTCACCGGATGACCACCAATGGCGCTGTAATCCAAGTTACACTCCATGTTCGGGTAATACTCGTTGCTGGCTGTGTCGCGTCCGAACTGGAAAAAAGCATAGAAGCCATTGGTGTAGTCCTCCTGATGCAGGATCTGGTTAACATCGCTGCGATTGTGACACGTCATACTTCCATAGATAATGGGGTTGGCTAGCGATGGGCTGTGTAAAAAAAATAGAGCACAGGCAATTGTTACAGGCTGCTCGCAAGACAAATAAACTCTGATGCTGATGATCAGGTACGAGTGATAACAATTGGGCAATTGTATATCGTTCTTTCTGTAATAATTATATTATTGAATAGCGAGCAATATGATTGGATGTGAAAACGAATTCATCCTGATGATCTGGGTTAGGACTGAGTACGGGGCCGAATCAATAATGGACTAAACAGTATCGATAGTTCGTCTAGAGATTTCACACTAATGATATCAAGTGAAAAGAAAAACTCACCTTGCGGCCAATGCGACAAGGACAGTAGCCAGGATAGGAAGAATGATTTGAGGAGACATTCTGGAAAGTCGGCGTTTGAGGCGGGATTGATCAGCCAAGCGGTAATGGAATTATCAATATGCTTGAGAGCTTGGGAGGATATCTGCCAGAAATAATGGAAGCGAGCTCCTTTTATACCATCTGGAGTGGGTCACAATGCTCAAAGACTTATGCGAATGAATTGTGCCATGTGCCTGCATGCTTGCACACACGATAGTTGGTACCTTCATCAAGAGCGGGTATTAGACTCGGAGACAAGTTCCTCTACGGATTTGTTCTCTTTGACAGGCTACACTGATCGATACTAGTTGTTCCACCCCTAGCACTTGTGACCTTTCCCATGATACGTAAACACCAATCCTTATCTGAATGAGTAGAAGACGCATGTAAAGGCTGAACGTACTCCACATTTCACCGTCATGACATCTCGCTCGCTGTTGCCATTCTGATGCCTTCGATTCAATGACTTCTGTATTATTATTGCATTATTGCTCGGAATGTTAGCTTGGAATATCTGATGAAGCATATTTGTCCTATCCTCTCTCAAGAGACCTGTGCCAATCCCGTGGTCACACGAACTGCAAGAATTCTATGCTCTTGCCAAAGTGCCTTGGGCAATGGATACTGCGTTTTCTTCTTTCATACATTGTACATGTACATGTGTCACTATCGCATCTTTGTACTCACATAGCAGTTGGTATATTGCAAGCATAAATTTCACAATCACGAATACTGTGGTAGACACGTGGTATGTGATCTACTTGATTGGTTTCCTTTTTTCCTGAGAGGGACTCAGGTTGGTGATATAAGGAAAAAATGACCGGCGAGAGCTGTCTGATCGTGTACACAAACCAAACGAACTTCCCGTACTCTCGGGAAATTGGCAAGTAATTGCAAAGCACTCAGCATCCTGCGCCACTCCCGAGCACGGAAAACGCAGTTTATACCTCTTAGATAACTAAGACCACTAGTATTCGGTCATTACGACTCTTGTGATGAAGTGGAAAATCTAGCACAGTCAATTAAACTGACGTCTCCGATCATCTGTAGAGATACCTCAGGGTATGAGCGCGATGCGTGTACTCACATATGGAGGAATTCTCCCTTCGCTGAAACGTGTGTGCTGTGTTACTTGGAACGTGCTGGCACCGATGATTTTGCTGTGTGGTGATCAAACGAACCATTTCTGTATGTCTCTGGGGAGAGGGCTAAACATTGTAAACAATAATATGAAACGCTCCAAAGCACACGTAGAATGTACGTGTGTTCAGACAAATTTCACGATCTTTACAATCATTGCGAAGGACGGATGTAGGACTGAGTGACGTGGGGTTGAGCTGGAAAGAAGACTATCCTCATTCCGCAGTACACACTAAAATATTCATCTACGTGGTGTTGTCGGGATCTGACTTGGCACCTGCAATCGCATGTGTCTCTTCCAGTCTACTAGTCTCTGTGCTACCAATGTCCAGTACTTGTTTCCTGGATTGTGCAATTCCAGACTTTCACTTAAATATCCCAAGGAGCTAGACTGTGCACTAATCTTCATCAAACGAGAAGCATGCATCGTACACATTTTGTGACATACCTCTCTGCATATCCTTTGAGATACTGTCTTTGAATCTTCCCCACTCATCTTATTACGGACATGAGAAAAGATCGAAGCAGCGCTGAATGGTTCGGTTATAATGCTAGTCGCATTGTCGCATCAGGCGTTTGGCAGCGTGTATAACAAGACGCTAGTTTTGACTGCTATTGTCATAATTGTCCCATTTCTGTGTTGTAAGGTCAACTTGCCTCTTACCAAAGTACTTCGCTATAATCCGTTCTTGAGAACTGAGAACATTCAGTATGTCTTTGAAAACCCTTCTTCCCATCCTGGTGGCTGTTCTGTTGCAGTACTTTGCAGGTAAGTGTATTTTAGACCCTAGTTTGTCACTTCTCACCTCACATTACTTTCTTTCTTTTATTATTGCATGCTATCTATTCGCTTAATTTCAAATAATTTGTCATTTTCATATTGTTGGGGATTACCACCCTTGTGTTGCTATAAATTCGTATTATTCATTGGTTCTTTCACTTGATGAGAAAGCACGAAGACTTGTTTATGCTATTCTGGAGTAGCCATTGGCGGACTATGCTCGGCCAATCGTCAAATTATGCTTTTGATTATGCCACAATTATGCCAACAAATATGCTGAATTATGCTGAATTATGCTCGGTTCCACTACATGTATGTATTCACGCTGTACATAGAGGATTGAGAAACCACGCATACACACACGGCCATGCCCTAAGTATAATTTTTGTCTAAACCGAAAGATTATGCCGACCTTACACGTTAGAATCCGTATATTATGCCGGAGCATAATTTTGGACGAAATCCCAAGATAATGCCAAATTTAATGCCGGCATAATCCGCCAAGGGCTATGACAAGGGGTCGTACTCGTAACAGGGGTATTTAAAAAAAAACACATCTGCAGGCTTTCTGACAAAGCTGTATTATGCCCCTAAGCATAATTTTTGTCTAAACCGAAAGATTATGCCGACCTTACACGTTGGAATCCGTATAATATTTATGCCGGGGCATAATTTTTTGACGAAATCCCAAGATGATGTCAAATATTATGCCGGCATAATCCGCCAAGGGCTATTCTGGAGTCCTGATGCTGGTGGGTAAGAGCTTGAAGTTGCAGTTATTTCTTATTGAAGTTGATTGGTGTGGTGTCTCTACTGCAGGCCTACAGAAGCCATTGTATATGGTAGCATGACGTGCCATAACCGTAGCGATGTCAATCAGATCTTGCATCAGGAGGACTACACCAATGGCTTCTTCGCTTTCTTCCAGTTCGGACGCGACACAGCCAGCAACGAGTATTACCCGAACATGGAGTGTAACTTGGATTACAGCGCCATTGGTGGTCGTCCGGTGAGCGTCATCTTCCATCCATGTACCCTGCCTATTGGAAATACATGCAGTCAGGATTCATTGACGGTCAGCACTGCTGCATCCAATCCACACACTGTGGTCTGCTCCGACGATCCAGCTGCTGAACCAGGCGTGATCGATACTGGTGATTCCACCATGTCCATTAAATTCCTCACTGACGCGAGTAGGCAGACAGTTGGCTGTACAGGATTTCTGTGGGGCGTCCGTAAGTAACATTTTTGTATTTGTGAAATACACAGATGACAGTCGTAACCCCTCTTACCTTCTTTTAAAATGTTCAATAAATCCGTTATCTGGTCTCTGAAATTGACTGTTGTGATATGAGATATGCTCGTAATGCAAGTACATGATCCATGATCTTGTCTATGATCTTGTCGGATCTCACCACAACCAAAACTGCCATTGTTCCGCCTTTAAAATGGACTAACTTGCACCCATGCAATTGTGTGTTTCGTGTTTGTACTGAAAAGCCTAATTCTGCTTTTCACTAGTTGGTAAACGTTGTGTCTTTGTTTGCGTTTCTATGTACTTCTGTTTCCTCAGCTCCGTCCTAAACTAGAGAGGCTCAAAAGGCATCGTGCAAACCCGCCACTACACGGAGCACTAAGGCATCCTGGTACAATCATCATGCAAAGCTGAATCATGTTGTTTGCATTTGTGCAGAAGCATCACATTGACACATTTAGAACCACATAATTCTTTCCAACCAATCTGTGTACCTTTCATTCCAGCCTGCGCCCTGCCTCCTCTTTCTATCCCATGGATATTTACACTGTACATGTATGGGCACAGAGAATACCAATAGCATGCAGTGTGCATTACATGAACCTGGACAACCTGTTCTTTCTTATAGTAGTAAGCACGCGTGCCCCTGGAATGCTCCTAAATGATTGCCATTGTGCCTTTCAAATTCTTATATGCAGATATATATTTTGATAGTGTACACTGTATATCCGCCAAGGCACGTTTGAAGGTAATTCATTTACAGTATTTTGTTTTTGCATCCCAGTGAAAACTATACTTTTGCAATCCATATTTTCCTCCTTTCGCAATTCAAACAATAATTATTATACATGATGTTTTAATCTGATTCCGTTCAGCAATCCCTGCAACGTAATCCAGCCAAGCACCAATCTGTTGAAAAGTTTGTATGTCGTATTACTAGTCACCCGATATGACTGGGAAGTGTGTTGTGTTCTGCATGCGTTGATCTGATGTCTACACTAGCTAATAATACTGTAGTGTAGAGTGGGCTGTACTGCTCCGGACAGCTAGCCATTTCCACCTTAGTAGGTCTCATCAGCATATGTAGGGGGGGGGGAGGGTAGAGAGCTGCATGCTTTCTCTCTCTCTCTCTCCCCGTAGCTCTCTCCCTTTTGAAATTCGCTTCCATAGAATTGGGCACCATTGCCCGTTTGGCCTTGCGAAGCAAAATAAAAATCAACAACAACAAACAACATGTTGCATGAGTGTTCAAGCCATATTTTAAAAGAAGAAATGAGGACCAGGGAACTACACGTTACGCTATAATGTCCACTGACACTAACAGTTACTTTACAATCAGCTCATGCGATAACATTGCACGACATTGCACGACATTGACCGACGGTACTGACGGTACTGACGGTACTGACGTTCTACACCTAACTGGCCTAACTTGTAGTTCCTTGGTCCTCAATTTTCTTCTTATAAATTTATCATTGGCTCTCCACCCGAGTCTAAATATTTTAAAAGGCACAACATTTCAGTAGCGCGAGGAAATGTCAGCTCAATTGATAGGACATCCAGTCTGAACAAAAGGACTTTAAGGAGGGAGTTTATCTCCAAATGCCCAGTGCCCTCTGGGTATCCCGTCTGAAGAAAAGGCGCAAGTTGATCTCCAAATGCCAACCTCCGACAGGACATCCCGTCTTAAGAAAAGGAGCGAGTTGATCTCCAAATGCCAACCTCCGACAGGACATCCCCTCTGAACACAGCAGCGAGTTTATATCCAAATGCCACCATGCCAATACACTCCAGCTGCGCAACCGATAGACGACAAGCACATGAGCTTGACCTTTGGCTGGGCGGTGTCTGTTATATTCGCTGGGACGTTGAATGAGACAGAGTGGTGAGTGGGACTGTGTTGATCGGGGGGGGGGGGGGGGGGGGGGAGCGATAGACGCGGCTTGAGGCCCACGTCTCACGCGTTGTGCGGGCCTTAGCTTTTGTTGTTATTTCCTCAATCTCTTAGCGGGGATAATACAGTATGCATTTCCTGGCCTTGCATGAGTGGTAAGTTGGGGAAACGTTGGTGTTAGGGGACTGGCCAGTGACGGGATGACTCCTACAGACTGTCTGTTTATGGTATACGTTTCGGTACCGGCCGGGCTCATTCAGGCCTTGGGCACCCCTGCTTCTGAATACATGTAGCTCCTATCCTACACTTGGGCAGCTCATATTATCCACAACTAGTACAGTAGTAGTACTATTCCTCCACATCACCATAATGCAGCAGTGAGTCATGTCATGATGGACGCACCAGGCAATACTGCATGTGTTACATGTGTGCATGACATTGTATAGCATGGCACTATTTCTCCATCCTTTTTGTAGGAGTATTGTACTGAGTTTGAATGTCAATACCACAATACCGGTACTAAGAGAACGGAGACTAAGCCAGTCTGGGACGTCAACCCTCCAGGTGATATGTGAAAGTGAGGGATTGGGCTCGGTCATGCAGGAAACTTCACTTCAACTACTTGTACACTGGATGCGAGTCAGGATCACAGACTTTATTAGCAATTTGTTCAGAACTTGGGATACCGAGTAGTTACGGAAAACCTTCAGGAATAATGACTGTGATAATAGCAATGTGATGATCAACAGCAAATTCATGATGATGTCATGATCAACACGCATTGACATAAGTAAAAAAACGTAGTCAGATGTGAACATAAGAGGGGAACTTGTAGGTAAGTATTTAATTCTAAATTCTGCTGGGCACTTGTTAATTAAGGAATTAGATAGAAGACAATGGGTCGAAACTTCTCAATCAGCTTGCCAATTAACCGCATATAATTCAGAAGCAAAGTAAGATTCTTCCCTACACCAGATCAAAGATCAAACTCTGAGCACGCAATGATGTAATAATACCAACACATGGATACTATAAAGACTAGTGGATGAGAGGCAGCGTGAGTTACAATTGGTCATGTAGTATAATCACGAGATCAAGTACATCTTGCTTTGCAGTTCTATTATGCTTGCTTATCTAAGCTAAGTTAAGGCAACTTGATGCTTGGATGTCAAGACGGCCTCGTTCTCAACAATGAAGAGTCACGGCAATGCCATCGAGCACCTTTCTCTTCTTATGATGGCGCTAAGAGCACAGATAACAACATACAAAGCGGAGAGGTATTGGTTGCAGCTAATATACGCATTTATATTCAGTAATTGGGGACCTTACGTATTGGAGCAAAGGTACACATTAATTTTAAAAGATCGGGGATTCAACAGGCCAGTTGCAGGGATAGTCAGTTTCACAAAAATACAGATGAATTTCACGTGTTCGGAAATCCCTCATACTTAGAGACCGGGGAGCTACAAGAGCTGCCTTTTAAAATATTTCAAGTCACTATTGCACACTATATAAGAAATACTGATGAGTGACCTGGGGAAATAAATTCGACTGAAGTGCAGCTATCGAATGTTCACTTGATTCGTGTTAGCTTCATCGCCTCTGCTTGGTGTAGATCATTCATATTTTGCTTTTCCCTATTCAAGTGTAAACTCTCTGCTCATTGTCAATGCAGTTGAGAAGAAAACTTTACTTACGGACGCCCCACAGGGATCCAGCGCATCCAACTGTCTGCCCACTCGCGTCAGTGAGGAACTTAATGGACATGGTGGAAGCACCAGTATCGATCACACCTGGTTCAGCAGCTGGATCGTCGGAGCAGACCACAGTGTGTGGATTGGATGCAGCAGTGCTCACCGTCAATGAATCCTGACTGCATGTATTTCCAATAGGCAGGGTACATGGATGGAAGATGACGCTCACCGGACGACCACCAATGGCGCTGAAATCCAAGTTACACTCCATGTTGGGGTAATACTCGTTGCTGGCTGTGTCGCGTCCAAATTGGAAAAAAGCAAAGAAGCCATTGGTGTAGTCTTCCTGATGCAGGATCTGGTTAACATCGCTGCGATTGTGACACGTCATACTGCCATAGATAATGGGGTTGGCTTCCGATGGGCTGTGTCAAAGAAAGACAGAGGACAGGCAATTGTTACGGGCTGCCCACAAGTCCAATTCTCTGATGCTGATGATCAGGTACGAGTGATAACAACTGAGCAATTGCATACCGGTATCCTTCTTTCTGTAATGATTATATTGAATAGAGAGCAATGTGATTGGATGTGAAAACGAATTCATCCTGATGATCTGGGTTAGGACTGAGAATGGGGCCGAATCAACAATGCCTATTAAAGGACTAAACAGTATCCGGAATACGATAGTTCGTCTAGAGATTTCACTCGAATGATATGAAGTGAAAAAATTACTCACCTTGCGGCCAATGCGAAAAGGACAGCAGCCAGGATAGGAAGAAAGATTTGAGGGGACATTCTGGAAAGTCTGCGTTTGAGTCGGGATTGATTGGCCAAGCGGTAATGGAATTATCAATATGCTTGAGAGCTTGGGAGGATTTCTGCCAGAAATGATGGAAGCGAGCTCCTTTTATACCATCTGGAGTGGGTCACAATGCCCAAAGACTTACGCGAATTAATTGTACCATTGTGCCATTGTGCCATTGTGCCATTGTGCCATTGTGCCTGCATGCTTGCACACACGATACATGTAGTTCGTACCTTGGTCAAGAGCGGGTATTAGACTCGGAGACAAGTAAAGTTCCTCTGCGGATTTGTTCTCTTTGACAGGCTCCACTGATCGATACTAGTTGTTCCACCCCTAGCACGTGTGACCTTTCCCATGATACGTAAACACCAATCCTTATCTGAATGAGTAGAAGACGCATGTAAAGGCTGAACATACTCCACATTTCCCCGTCATGACATCTCGCTCGCTGTTGCCATTCTGATGCCTTCTATTCAACGACTTCTGTATTATTATTGCATTATTGCTCAGAATGTTAGCTTGGAATATCTGATGAAGCATATTTGTCCTATCCTCTCTCAAGAGACCTGTGCCAATCCCGTGGTCACACGAACTGCAAGAATCCTATGCTCTTGCCAAAGTGCCTTGGGCAACGGATTACTACGTTTTCTTCTTTCATACATTGTACATTTGTCACCATCGCACACATGTATTTGTATTCACGTAGCAGTTAGTATATTGCAAGCATAAATTTCACAAGAACGAATACTGTGGTGGACACGTGATATGTGATCTACTTGAACAGTTTCCTTTTTTCCTGAGACGGACTCAGGTTGGTGCAGTGATATAAGGAAAAAATGAGCGGCGAGCTCTCTGATCGTGTACACAAACCAAACGAACTTCCCGTGCTCTCGAGAAATTAGCAAGTAATTGCAAAGAGAAGCACTCTGCGCCACTCCCGAGCACGGAAAACGCAGTTTATACCTCTTAGATAACTAAGACCACTAGTATTCGGTCATTACGACTCTTGTGATGAAGTGGAAAATCTAGCACAGACAATTAAACTGACGTCTCTGATCATCTGCAGAGTACCTCAGGGTATGAGCGCGATGCGTGTACTCACATATGGAGGAATTCTCTTCCCTTCGCTAAAACGTGCGTGCTGTGTTACTTGGAACGTGCTGGCACTGATGATTTTGTGGTGTGGTGATCAAACAGAATTTTTTTCTGTATGTCTCTGGGGAGAGGGCTAAACAATACCAAGAAACTCTCCAAAGCACACGTAGAATGTACGTGTGTTCAGACAAATTTCACGATCTTTACAATCATTGCGAAGGACGGATGTAGGATTGATTGAAGTGGGGTTGAGCTGGAAAGAAGACTATCCTCATTCCGCAATACACACTAAAATATTCATCTACGTGGTGTTGTCGGGATCTGACTTGGCACCTGCAATCGCATGTGTCTCTTCCAGTCTACTAGTACATATCTGTGTGCTACCAATGTTCAGTACTTGTTTCCTGGATTGTGCAATTCCAAACTTTCACGTATTTATTCCAAGGAGCTACCCTGTGCACTCAACTTCATCAAACGAGATGCATGCATCGTACACATTATGTGACATACCTTTCTGCATATCCCTTGAGCTACTGTCCTGGCATCTTCCCCAACTCATCTAATTACGGACATGAGAAAAGATCGAAGCAGCGCTGAATGGTTCGGTTATGATGCTAGTTGCATTATCGCATCAGGCGTTTGGCAGCGTGTATAAAAGACGCTCGGTTTGACTGGTAATGCAATCTCCCATTTCTGGTTTTGTAATGTCAACTTGCCTACTACCTAAATACTCAGCTATAATCAGTTCTTGAAAATTGAAAACATTCAGTATGTCTTTGAAAACCCTTCTTCCCATCCTGGTTGCTGTTCTGGTTGCAGTACTTTGCAGGTAAGCGTATTATAGACCCTCGTTTGTCACTCCTCAAATCAACTTGCTTTCTTTCTTTTTAATATTGCATGG